CAGGCCAGTCAGTCTTAGAGGTCACCCTGAATCGGGGGTCCCCCAGCCCCGGTCCCGGTCAAACCCCGAACTCGCTCTCCTAGGGCGCCCTTCCGTGCGAAGGTGTGCCGGGGTGACGTACAGAGCAGGCCCCCAAGGCCTTGCGCAAGAGGAGAGCTCCAGGCGTCGCGCCCAAGAATCTCGAAGCGCAGCTCTCCCTCTGCCTTCCTGAGCGCGCCGCCCCAGGAACGGCTGTTAGTCAAGAAACCCGTTTTTCAGCTCCCGGCGGCAGAACCTGCTTGGGCTGGCCGGCCCGGGATCCCGAGAGGCCGGTCTGGCTGGTGCTGCTTTCTCGATTCCCCGAAGCCCCGGGGGTTCTGCCTCACTGTGGGCGCCGCGCTGTCCCGGAGAGCCCGGGTCTGGTGCTGGAAAGTGATCTGGGAATGTGTCCAAACTGGGAACGTGATCTGGGGCGGCGCGGGCGAGACTCGAGGCTCCGGGGTCTGCGGAGGTCGGGCAGGGGTGGGGTTTTGTGGCGGCGTCTTGCGCGCCCCAGACTCGACGCCCTGTCCGGTGTCAGATTTTGACTCCTTTTCCTCCGTCTCTGCCTGTACGTCCCCCCACCTCTTCCCCCACCCACAGGAGCTGAGGGAGCGTGTGCTCAGGGGCAAGTACAGGATCCCCTTCTACATGTCCACCGACTGCGAGAACCTGCTCAAGAAGTTCCTCATCCTCAACCCGGCCAAGAGAGGCAGCCTTGAGGTCAGTAGGGCCAGCGCGCGGTGCGACCCGTGCCCACCACCAGGGGGCTCTCCGTGAGACACAGACAGGGAGAGAGGCTGGGGGTCAGGGCGCGGGGTCGGCCGTTTATACGGCGCCCCTGGAGCAGCTGGGGTGAAGGGCCTTGCTCAGGGGCCCAGCGGAGTAGGATTCCTCTGTGTCCAGACTGGGTGACGCTGATTCTCTCCCGCTGAACCTGTCCTCGTCTTGTCCTGCCTCCCCTGCCTGTCCGCCTGCCCCTCCCCCTCCCTGTCCGTCCCTCAAGCAGCAGATCATGAAGGATCGCTGGATGAACGTGGGCCACGAAGACGAGGAGCTGAAGCCCTACCTGGAGCCAGAGCCCGACTACAAGGACCCCAAGAGGACAGGTGAGGAACTGCAGGGCCGGTGGGGTTGAGGGGCAGCTCGGGACTGGCGCCAGAGACGTTCTGTGGTGACCGAGCCGCGGATTGCCGCCGGGGGGGGCCTCTTCCTGTCCCGGCGGCGCGCTCGTCCGCGCTGTGGCAGAGCGGCCCTGTGGGCGCGGTGCCGCCTCTTCCTGACAGCTGCTCTGGTGCGTTTCCCCTGCAGAGGTGATGATCCAGATGGGATACACGCAGGAGGAGATCCAGGACTCGCTCGTCAACCAAAAATACAACGAAATCATGGCCACCTATCTGCTGCTGGACTACAGGACCTCCGAGGTGGGCAAACCTGGGTGCAGCGGCCCTCTGCGCTCATATAGCGCCTTTCACTTCTGCTCACGGTGCTGAGCAACGTGGGTGCTGTACAGTGTCCCGTGAGGGGTGCGCAGTGGGATTGAGATGTGTTTTCCGATATTGTTTCTTCCTTGGAAACGTGGTGGTGTTAGTGGGTTTGTGGGAAAGGCTTGTGGGAACGCTGGGGGGGGCCCTGACTGACTCCCGCCCTCTTCTCTTCGTCCAGCTGGACGACGGCGGCAACCTGTCGATAAAGCCCCGCCCAGGAAGTGACCTCACGAACAGCAACGTCCAGTCCCCTCCACACAAGGTACAGCGCAGCGTGTCCAGTCAGAAGCCCCGGAGACAGGCGGACCAAGGTGAGTGGGGGGAGGGGGCAGGGCGAGGGGCAGCGGGACGGGGGAGTCGTGGGGGGAGTGGGGGTTTCATAGGTGCCCTGCGGAAAAAGCAAGCTGGTGGCGACTCTCTTCCTCCCTCTCGCAGGCTCCTCTGTCTCCTCCTCCTCCTCCAAGCGCTCTCAGTCCGGAGCGTCGGACACCAAGCACCACTCCGAGGACACGGGGAGGAAGGGCTCGGGCAGCTCCGCCAAGGTCCCGGCCAGCCCCCTGACCCCCGCCGACCGCAAGAAGGGGACCCCCACCCCCTCCACCGTGAGTGTCGCCCCCACCCGGAGAGCGGCTCTCCTCCGTCCTCCCCAGGTGTCCCGCCAGGCCCACGGGCCTTTTATAGAGGCCTTCCGCAGGGACCCTGGGCTGAGCAATTCATTAACGGCCTGAAAGCTTGGCCAAGAGCAGGCACCCCACCCCCCCACCCCCCACCGCGGTGTCCACTCCGCTGTCCTGCCCCCTGTCTCCTCTCTCCCGCTCACCCTGTCTCCGGCCCTCTTGCAGAATAGCATCCTGTCGACCGGTACGAGTCGGAGCCGAAACTCCCCGCTGATGGAGCGAGCCACTCTGGGGCAGGGCACGGTGCAGAACGGGAAGGACAGGTAACCTCTCTCTCTCTCCCTCTCTCGCTCGCCCTCCCTCCCCGGTCCCTGGCTGCGGCCTGCCAGCGCCGGGCTCTCCGGGGATTATCACTGGGCCGGGCCGGATTACCGGCACCTCCAGCGCTGGGGCTCCTGTGGCCGCGCCCACACGTGCGCACACGAGCCTCTGATCCCATCAGCTCGGAGAGCTCCCGCAGGGAGGGAGAGCAGGGATAAAGACGGATATCCCCTAACCCCGGATTTGCAGCACTTCTGCGGATTAGAGAGCAGGAAGGTGAGGGCGGAGGAGGGTTTGGAAGGGGAGGGCGCTCTTCCTCAAAGCCAATTTGATATCATCCCCTGTCTGATCCTGAGAGTTTCCTCCTGGGAGCAGTCGCTCTGTGTGAAGACGTTGCTGCCTCTTTGGGGGATCCTGACCGTCGTGATAGCTGGTTGCGTTTACATAGAGCCTTTCCACCCAGAGAGCTTGAGTGCGTCACGTATAGGAGGAGGAGACCCACTACATTCCCAGCAGCCCCCACCTGGGAGACGCACAGCGGTCATTCTGCCCCAGCAGCCCCCACCTGGGAGACGCACAGCGGTCATTCTGCCCTAGCAGCCCCCAGGTGGGAGATGCACAGTGGTCATTCTGCCTCAGCAGAATTTGCTCCGGCCAGCGCGGTCCGGGACAGAGAGGGAGGATCGGCAGTGGGGAAACTCCGAGGCAGCGGCTGACATTTACCCAGCAGCCTCGCTGAGCGCTGTGCACCTCTCCCTGTCTTCCTAAAGCTCGCTCCGAACTTTATACCAGAATACCCGAGCAGGAAACCCCGACGCACAGCAGAACGGCGCCCAGGGAGACTTCATTCCAACCCTCCTTCTCCAATATACGCCAAACACGGGCCGTTGGCGTGGTGGCGCAGTGGCGTGGCGGTCAGCGTGCGGTACTTATACAGCGAATCCCTCTATAGGCCAAGCTAGCCTAACCTACACCCATGTGAGTGTGGTCCCCTGCCCTTCACCAATAGAGTAATCAATCAGGTGACCACAGGTGACCACACACACACTCTTCCTCTTCCACTCCTTCTGTTCTTACTGCTGGATTTGCCACAGGAGAGCTAACAGCCCCAGCTTCCATTAACACGCTATCCCCTCCTGCTGCCATGGGCCGATTTCCTGTCTGCGTCCGCCTCGAGTGTCTGCTCGTCCACCCCCCCCCCCGCGGAGCTGCTCGTGAACTTCACCAGCAGCGCCTGACCGCTGGGCAGAGGGTCCTGGTCCTGGCTTCCCAACCCTCACAGGCTGGATCCCCTTGCTGCACGCCTGCTGCATGTGCCCACTTATCCCGCGGGATTATAGGATTGATCCCACCTAGATATGGCCACTCGCTCGGAGCCTTGCGGTTTTAAAAATGAGCAGGTTTGCCGCTGTGGCGGGGGGGAGGGGGGGGCTGTGCACAACACCAGGCACAGAAAGGGAGCGCCTCAAACACAGAGCAGGGCCTTGTGCATTCACCCTGCAGGGCCTGATGCAGATGCTCACACTGGAGACCCATGCGCCATGGGAGAGGGGGGATGGGGGCACAGAAAGGTGGGAATGTAGCAGTGCCACCCTGCTTGGCTCGGGGGGGCGGGGGGGGGCTCTTCTGTGTGTCCGCACAGCAATGTGGCAGCAGGAGACCGGGATTTAAACATCGAGCAGTCGGCTTCATCCCTCTCCTGTAACTGGCCTCATGAGTGTTCCTCGCTCCTCACGGGTGCTCTCCTGTCATCTGCTTCCTCTGCTGTCGGCCACGACTGTAGTTTCTTGTGTTTCCAGCACCACGCCGCCGGGCCTGTCCAGCTTTTTTCCTCGTTCTCTGAAGCTGCTGGGCCCGCCGCGCCCACACCCACGCTGCTCAGCTGTCTGTGTGAAACTGTCGCTACATGCTTCGCCTCGCCCCGCTGGGCGCTGGTGCCCGTCTTGTTTTGTTTTTGTATTCCGATTTCCTTGTTTCAGCCTCTTGAGTATGTGTTGTTCGCCTCCCTCGAGGTTGGTGTTAACCATTAACCCCCCTCACCCCCCCCTCCTCGTGTCTGTGGTGAGGCGTGTGAGCTCTCCGCTCTGCGCTGCGTCCCCCGGGCGGCGCAGGACCGAAAGAGAAACGGAGAGGACAGGCCCCCTCCACTCCAGCCAGTCCCTGTTTCTTTACAGTTGTGCAGGGGGTGGAACCTGGCTGGAGGTCCGTGCCTCTCTGCGTCTCTCTCGGGGTTCTGCGGGTTAGCGGTGTGTGCCGTACCCCCTGAGAGGACTGGGGGGGTGTGTGTGTG